TATGACCAATTTGTGCAGAAATCCATATCATTCCAAAGGGTTCACATACTTTTTCTTGCAACTGTATATCCCCAATGTTGTGTCTAATATATCATATTGAGGTGACAGTCCTCAATTATCATGCTGATTTACACACACAATTAGTAAAAGCAAGCATACTCATTGTTTTGTTATGTTTTTTTTTTTGACATTCTTTATTTAGTTTTGTGGTTTGACAAGAAATAACAGTGCAAACATATATTTCCATAACAATGTTACGCTAATAACCCCATTTGGTAAACCCCTTCCCGCATCGTCCACCCTTACTGGGGTGCGAGCCCGCTGCTGTTGCTCAGTTGGTGGCCTGGTTCTTCCCAGGCGGCAGATGTGACCCCCCCAAGGCCAGTAGGGGCACCGTTACTCCCATTCCCCCCCCCATCCCCCGCCCCCCAGCCCCGGATCCCCTGTGGGGAAGGTTATGGGTGAGGCGGAAGATAGGTGAGTATGTGCATCGTGGCGCGGTTGGGCCTGGGCACCCTGGTTTAAGGTGCGGGTTGAGCTCCCTGTTGCTTGTTCCCACTTGGCGTGGAAATGTGCTGGCGCTCCCTGGTCAGCAGCCAGGAGCATTGCGTAGAGCGTCGATATCCCGCGGGTCAGATGTTCTTCGCTGGAACAGTAAGTCTCAAATTGCGTGGGGTCTCTGTGCAGTAACTGTCTCCCTTGGAGGGTGGCGTAGTAATGCTTAACTTGTTGGTAACGGAAATGAAGCAGGCCTGTGGGTCTGGATTGCGCTGTCAGAGCGGTGTAGGTTTTCATCCCTGTCCTGGTACACCACTCCCGGAGGAGCCGGGCCCCCCCCTCCCCAATGCCGGCCACGTTTTGCGTTCGCAGCCCATCAGCCAGGTCGGGGTTGTATACCACCGGTGTCAAGGGTGCGGGGAAGGTCGTGAGCTGCAATTTATAGCGGATGTTCGACCATATCCTCAGCGTCGCCCCAATGAAGGGGTGGCGACTGAGTTCCTGGTCTCGCATCGGAACCCGCGTCCAGACCACCGGCGTGATCCGTCCCCGCGCCCACGTCCGCTCCAGCTGAACCCACTGTTTGTCCGTGGCTGACACATGCCAATCGATGATGCGGGAGAGGTGGGAGGCCTGGTAGTATCCCTTGATATGTGGCAGTCCTGTGCCTCCACGGTGCTTCGGGAGGATGAGCTGCGCCCTCCTCACCCTCGGTGGGCCCGCCAACCATATGAATTTCAGAATCGCGGAGTCCAGGGATCGGAAGAAGGCCTGCGGCAGAGCTATTGGGACGGTCTGGAACAGGTACAGCAGGCGTGGCAGCAGGTTCATCTTCACTGCGTTTATCCGACCGAACCAAGACACACAGAGCTTCCCCCAGCGCATCAGGTCCGCTTGGAGTGTGCGGAGGATGGGGAGGAAGTTTTCCTGGTAGAGCTGGGTTAGGTCCCTCGTCAACCAGATCCCTAGGTATTTTAGTCGGCGCGGGCACCACCGGAAGGGGAAGCGAGCCTGCAAGAGTTCCCCCAGCTGACGTGTCAGAGATATAGGAAGAGCTTCCGACTTCGTCGCGTTGAGTTTCAAGTTGGAGAGGGCTCCGAACGCTTCGAATGCCGAGAGTAGATTAGGGATCGTGACCAGTGGACTTCCCATGAAGAATAGGAGGTCATCCGCATAGGCCGCCACCTTATGTTCCCGGCCGCCTTGGGTGAGCCCCGTTATTCCCCCATCCCGCCTGACCGCCTCCAGAAAAGGTTCCAGACAGAGGGCAAACAGAAGGGGGGACAGGGGGCATCCCTGCCGGGTCCCGTTTTTTATCTCAAATGTCGGGGAGAGGACTCCGTTGATCCAAAGCTGGGCCGTTGGGGTCGTGTAGAGCGCTGCGATCCAGCGCAGGATGTTAGGGCCGAAACCCATCTTCCGGAGCGTGGCTTGAAGGAAGTGCCAGTCCACCCTGTCAAAGGCCTTCTCAGCGTCGGTAGAGAGGAGAAGGCTACCCTGCTCAGAGCGCTGTTGTGTGTGCAGGATGTTGAGAGCCCGGACCGTGTTGTCCTTAGCTTCTCTCCCCGGGATGAAGCCAGTTTGATCCGGGTGGACCAGCGTAGAGATCAGGCGGCCTATGCGGTTCGCTAGGACCTTCGTAAAAAGTTTTAGGTCAGAGTTGAGTAGCGAGATCGGTCTATAGCTGGAGCACTCGGCTGGGTCCTTGCCTTCCTTGGGAATAACCGTTATGGTTGCCAGGAGGGTGTCCCCCTGGAACCGTCCTTCTTCCAGTAGCGAATTCAGGCCCGACAATAGTTCCGGTAGTAGAATCTCTCCGAATGCCTTAAGGTAGCGTGGGGGGAGCCCATCAGGTCCCGGGGCCTTATCGAGGGGGGTGTTTTTTAGGGCCCCCTGGAGCTCCTCAAGCGTAATGG